TTGACCATGGTGGCGTTTACGTCACTTTGTCATCTCACGGCAGTAAGGGCTTTGTACCGGTTATGACTGACCTGGTACATTATTTGATCTGAGATCAAGGACAATTTGGTGAACCTTGAGCATCATATATACATCAAACTGATCATGAGCGATGTACAGAACCTTTTTGAACATGTTTGAGCAAGTTTCGACGCTAAAGACATTGTGCAGGCCTTGGTTGTCAAATGTTCTAAACTACAGAATGCTTTGGATAACCTAGAACGTCACTTGAGCTTCCGGCATACACGAATCCCCTGGTTAAAAAGAAAGCCCGGGTAATAGCTGATGAACTAGAACGGGAGTACGGCATGAACATCAACCGTCCTAAGATTGGTGGGTCCAGAAGCTGCAATAACGGCAATATGGCCCGCCGTTTATTGGCAGAACCCGGAAAATTTGCAAAAATCATCGGCGTACACAAGGTGGAAAATCTGCGGCTTTCTTCTAGAGTATTGGATCCTACCAAAGTTATGGAGTTGTATAACACTCTTTAAAAGCAGAATTTAAATGAATTCCCATACCTAATAAAATTGCCACCATCCATACATAAGAACATGCATCTAGCAAATTTCATTGAAAAATTGGTAAGCTTAGATTTAATAGTATATCGAATCACAATCATAAATGTTTTGTTTTCTTTTTCTTCAATTGAAACATCCAGCCTTATACCATGAACTTTGTTGACGAGCAGTCCGGTGAACGTTGCCATAAGGTTTATAAATTCATTCGGCCACATCTAGCTCGGAAAACGTCTCCGGAAGAAAATTTGATCGACATGATGACCGAAGTTTTGACTAGGTCTGACCCAAAGCTTGCCTGTTTCTTTAACCAGAGCAGACAATCGATAAGTACTGATGTCAGGTTCGAAGAGAGGCTGGACGAATACACCTTGAAACAAGATGACAGCGATGAAAACCATGGAAAAGCGGATGACTCATCGTAGAGAGTGACGAAGAACATGATGACTCCGGTGAACTTAACGAGGAGAGCGATGAAGAAGACACTTGAATGTTCCGTTGGATAAGTACCACAGATGTGTCCCTGTCGCTCGCACACACACACACACACACACACACACACACACACACACACACACACACACACACACACACACACACACACACACACACACACACACACACACACACACACAAGAAAAATACATGAACATACAGTAGCACAAACATATTCATTTCAAATGCTCACTAGCGCCATCTAACGAGAGAATTCCGGATTGTTCCTTGACCTCCTTATCAACCCTAATAAAAATTGTATGGTTAATTTGCTTAACGACGTGTTCTGGGTATCATCCAAACCATTTGAGGAATAGTTCAATGATTTGGGTTATCATTCGTTTATGGTTATTTTTTATTAGGGAACTTTGCCGTAGAAATCATCCGTCTAAAAAGTCAGGATCTTGAGATACAGCAGTACAAACATATTAACTTCAAATGCTCACTAGCGTCACCTAGCGGGAGAATTCCGAATTGTTCTGTCCATCATTCAATAGTCCTTGACCTGCTGATCAACTTTGCCGAAGAAATCATCCGTCTAGTCAGGATCTTAAGATACAGCAGCGCAAACATATTCACTTCGAATGCTCACTAGTGTCGCCTAGCGGAAGAATTCCGAATTGTTCTGAAGAAATCATCCGTCTAAATAGTCAGGATCTTGAGATACAGCAGCACAAATATATTCACTTGCAATAATCACTAGCGCCACCTAGTGGAGGAATTCCGAATTGTTCTGTCCATCATCCAACAATCCTTCACCCCCTGATCAACTTTGCCCAAGAAATCATCCGTCTAAATAGTCAGGATCTTGAGATACAGCAGCACAAACATATACACTTCGAATGCTCACTAGCGCCGCCTAGCGGAAGAATTCCAAATTGTTCTGTCCGTCATCCAACAGACCTTGACCTCCTGATCAACTTTGCCGAAGAAATCATCCGTCTATATCATCGGTATCTTGAGATACAGCATTCAAATCATGCAAAATAGGAGATTTTAGGGCAAAACTGTGAAAAACCCCAACTTACCCTATCGTGCCCAAGATGAAACCCACTCCAATCGATTCCTGAGACATTTTTCTATAAGAATTACTATTTTTTAGTCTCTTGTTCCAGTGAGCACCGAAGTTATTGAATTTTAACACATTGTTTCGATTTTGTCCCGGAGCGCTGTATCGCGGTTATTGCGATTCCGACGGTTCGTTATAATCTTGATTGACAATCTTCTCGGACCGTGTTGAAATGTTTTTGGAAGTTGAGGTGGCGGTCTAAATAGACGCCGAGAATGCGACAGCAGGTCTTGTATGGCACTGTGTTGCCTTCGATTTTGATAGGGTTTGACTCCGCCCGGTGTCGGCTGTTACAGATGTGTGTTAAGTTACTCTTGCTCGGTGACAACTCAAAACCTACCGATTTGGCCCATCTGTTAACGGTATTGACAGCTGCTTGAAGCTTTCTTCGAAGTGAAACTGGTCTATGCCCGACAACAACGAGGACGATTCGAGTATGAATATGGCATTGAATCTGTTTTTGAAAGTTGGTGCACAGGTAAAAAGTGAGGCTACGCGACGCCACTGATCTTTGGGAAGGTCCCCAAAAACTCCTTTCATAGACACTAGGAACAGTGTGACTGCGAGAACAGAGCCCTGGGGGACTCCAGTCTCTTCCCTTGCGATGTTAGACCTATGATTCTCGATGCCGACTTTTTTTTTTTTTTCCTTTGGTTTGTTTTTTCCGTCGATCTTGTTTTCCGTGCTGAGCACCAATGCTACCGACGTGCCAGGAAGGCAGCTCCCACACCTGGACCCTACCTATCGACCCATCAACTCATGAACCGGGGACCAACGGCTTTACTTCCCATCCGAAGGAAGGCGTGATAAGAGATGTTATGCCTCAGAACATCCCGGCGGCGCCGACTGGGATTGAACCCAGGCCTGCTGGGGTGAGAGGTAATCACGCTTACCACTACACCACCGGCGCCGTTGATGCCGACTTGGAAGGTTCTGTTCTTGAGGAAATTCTGGACAAAGTGAAGTAAGTGGCCGGATAGGCCCCATTCAGATAATTGTTTCAAGACGAAGGGTGTCCATATCCTGTTATAGGCATTAGACAAGTCCAAAGCTGCTATGTCTACGTGCTGTTCGGCTTGAAGGGCGTCATCTAGAACTTGACCGAGCGAGGCGAAGTAGGTTCCCGTTCCGAAACCTTTACGGAAGACATGTTGTCGGTAATCCAACAGATTGTTGTCTTGAAGGAAGTCAGTAAGTCTGCGGTTGACCATACGTTCCAGAACTTTACAAGTGCAGTTTGTCAATGAGATTATTTGGTATGGGAACTACCAAGCTGTGTCTCCATTGCTTTGGGAAAACATCCTGGGTTCAGTTCTGGTTCAGAAGTGAAAGAAGGATCTGCTTGCCCCTGTGTGGTAGGTGTTTCAGCAATGGGTAACCAATTTCATCAGGGCCAGCAGATTTACTATTACTGTTCGCAAGGGCTAAGCTCAACTCCAACATTGAGCTTTTTAGATATGAACTAAGATGATCTTTATGTGATCTGCGAACTTGCATCACGAAGGTGTTACATGAGTTACATGAGAAAATGTCGAGATTTTGAGACTAGGCCAGCGTTTTATATTCTTGAAATTTTCGAGATGACAGACGCCAAACAATTTAAATTATCAAATATGGCAAGATATAAGATGAAAAAGTTAGAGGGACATAGTGAACAGATGGGACATAATGAGCATCCCGCACTCCAGTCCCGAACCTCTAATTATTCGAAACAAATTAATTGGTAGAAGGTTCAATATCACCATTGAAATGATTAGGTATTGACACATTAATTTGTTTCGAACCATAAGAAATCCAAGGCTAAAGCACAGGAAGCTCACCATGCCCCTCCTTCCCCTAATTCTGAGGTGAAGTTCCTGGTAATTTTGAGAAGTATTTCAGGAAAATTGTAAGGAGAAATAAAGGTAAATTTCAAGGTAATTCTGAGGAGCCGGGGATTGAAGATAATTTCAGGAAAATCTAAAGCAATCATTCAATGAAATTTTTGAACAAATTTCCAAAGAATTCTGAGTAGAATTCCAGGAAGATTCAGAATCACATTCTCAGAATAGTTTCAAGGAAACTCTTATGGGATTTTAAGAAGAGTTTCAAGAGAATTATGAGAAATAATCCCATGGAATTCTGATGTGAATTATAAGATAATTTTGGAACAATAGTTTAGGAACCCTCAGGTAAATTCCAAGAGCAGAAGAATCCTGAGTATAGTTCCTAGATAATCATGATAAGAATTTCTAGAAAATTCTGAAGGAAACGTTTATGGAATTCTGAGCAGAATTAAGCGGTAAGAAATGGAGAAGTATTCTAGATTCTGTGACATGAAAAGTTCTCAAGTTTCTAAAAGTTATTAAAACTGCGGGACATAGGACATCAACAAAGCATTTGAGATATTGAAATTAACCGAAACTCAAGTGTCTAAGTTTGAATTAAAAGTAGTCGCTGTCATTCCAATTCAAGAGCTCGATGTGAGCAATTCAAGTTTGCTTTAATAAAACATTCTTTTGTTCGTCTGTTCGTCTCGGCCTGTTCATTATTGCTCCGTCCTGTCCACGTAGTTCCTTCAGGTTATGGGCTCGTCTACGAAGGAAAGCTCTGGAATTCCGCAGTTGAATGGAACGAACTTCGAGAATTGGCGGTTTCGAGTTCAACTGCTCCTGGATGCGGCAGAAGTTTCGGACGTATTAACCAAGCCAGTTCCCGGTGAATCGGACCAGCGAAGGGCGAAGTTTTTGCAGACAGATCGGAAAGCGAAGTCCTTGCTAGTTGGATTCCTTTCTGATGAATGACTAGGCATAGTACGGGACAGGAGACTGCTCGAGAAAAGTGGAAGGCACTGGAACATACATGTTCAGTACCGGGTAGTCGAAACTGGTCAACCTTTAATGTATCATCTTGTTCGCTCAATAAAATCAGTTTTGTCTCAGCAGTCAACCTACACGCGTGTTTACTACAGTGGCTACGAGGATGTGCACTTGAGCAAAATGGCGGCCAGTGCGGCGAATTTTCGTAAATTTGAAGAGGAGGAGGAGGAATGGCAATTATTTAAGGAACAATTGGAGGAATGGTTCAAGTCGGCAGGATTGGAAGCCGGCAAGAAAGTGCCAATATTGATAAACTGCCTCAGTGTTAAAACATATAAGTTGGTACGGGATTTGTGCACGCCAGCGGTTCCGGCGGAGAAGACCTATGCGGAATTGTGTCAGCTGCTGGCCTCACATTTTACACCTACAACGGTGGTTCACCGGGAAAGGAGGATGTTTTTTGCGGCAAAACAAGGAGAACAAGGACCGGAGAACGTAAACATGTGGATCGCCAGGATCAAGCGGTTGTCTGCCAATTGCAAATTTGGAAACCATCTTGAACACAACCTAACCAACAAATTCATAACCGGCCTATCAGGAAGAGCGTTGGATCGAGTTTGCGAAGAAGATGAAAACGTCACATTCGAGAAAGCCAGAGAGCTCGCGCTGAAGTACGAGCAAGAAGAAGACCGAAAGAGTGTAGAGGCGGAGCATGTCAACATAGTCCGACAGCGGATGGACCGAACGAAACACGAGGAGTCGCGTCGGAGATCGCAGGTGAAACCATCGAGCGAAGAAGTTGAGTGTTATGTCTGTGGCAGACGAGGCCACGTCAGGGCAAACTGCCGTTTCCGCAACAGTGTTTGCAACAGTTGCAGCAAAAGAGGTCATCTTGCGGCCGTTTGTAGGACCAGAACGAAGCATTATGTGGAGGACCAGGAGGCGTTTCCAGATCACGATGTTTCCGACGAATGCATCGAATCCCAGCAGAATTTCATGAGTAAGCCTGTTGTGTTTAGAATTAAAAAGATAGAAAACATTCCCGACAAGCCGATAAAAGTAGGTGTTACGATCGACAAGAAAAATCTGGTTATGGAACTGGATTCCGGAGCAGCAACGTCCGCGGTATCGGAAAAGTTCCATCGGAAGTTTCTGCGGTGCTACCAGCTGAGCAATGCTAATCTAAAACTGTTAACCTACAACGGACAGCGTTTGAAAGTGCTAGGCTGCATTGAACCGGTAGTGACATACAATGGTGAACAGAAAAAAGTGAATTTCGCAGTTATCGGAGATGGAGGACCTCCGTTGTTAGGAAGAAACTTCATGCGCGAGTTCAAATTACAATTGTTACCTCTTAAGCGTATCAGTGAAGATCGTAGTGAACAGTTAGAACACGTGTTGAATCGGTTCAAGCATATGTTTTCCGGGAAGTTGGGTAAATATACAGGGGCAAAGATTGATTTAGAGGTACAAGTTGACGCAAAGCCAGTCTTTTGTAAACCAAGGCCAGTGCCATTAAGTTTGGAGCCAATGGTTGATCAAGAAATCGAAACGATGGAAACGAGTGGTGTAATAAGCAGGTGTGACTCATCAGTGTGGGCTACCCCAGTGGTACCCGTTCTCAAGGATGATGGAAATCGAATCCGGTTGTGCGGTGACTATAAAGTGACGTTGAACAAAGTATTAAAATATGTGCGCCATCCCTTACCACGGGTAGAAGAGGTAATGGGAAAATTGGAGGGGGCGAAATATTTTTCAAAATTGGATTTAAGCAGAGCATACAACCAGTTCGAACTATCCGACGACTCGAAAAAGCTTTGTGCCCTGTCGACGCACAAAGGCGTATTTTTAATGAACAGACTACCGTTCGGGGTAAAGCCTGCGTCGGGAATAGTTCAAAGGGAACTAGAAAAGCTACTCGCTAGTGTCCCAGGAGTGGTCAATTTTCTCGATGATGTGTTGGTATCCGGTAGTTCGCGTGAAGAACATTTGTGTAGACTCGAGCAGGTGTTGACAATACTAGATAATTCTGGACTGACTTTGTGTAAAGAAAAGTGCAGCTTTATGAAAAGCAGGGTGAGCTATCTGGGCTTCGAAATCTCTGGTAGTGGAATAGAAAAAACCAAGGACAGAATTCGTGCTATAGAAGAAGCCAAACCCCCTAGTAGTGTGTCGGAAATACGCGCCTTCGCTGGAATGGTGAATTACTACAGCAGGTTTGTGAAAGGTTTAGCAACATTGATGTCACCGCTGTATCAGTTGCTGAAGAAGAATTGTAAGTTTGAGTGGACCAATCAGTGCCAAGAAGCATTTGAGAAAGTTAAGGCAGAAATTTGCAAGGACATAACCCTCACTCATTTTGATCCAGATAAGAAAATAGTGTTAATTTGTGACGCGTCAAAGGACGGAATTTCTGCAGTTTTGGCACACAGAATCGATGGTCTCGAGAGACCAATAGCTTTCGCCTCAAGAATTTTGAGTGGAGCTGAAAAAGCTTATAGTGTGTCACACAAAGAAGGACTGGCTATTATGTACGGCTTGAACAAATATTACTTCTATTTGTTGGGAAAACCTTTGAAAAAAAAGTTTAAAGGACCAGTTTTTGACTCACATATATTATCTCGTTTACAGAAATCACTCTGTAGAAGTTCATCGAAGCAGAGCATTGAGGTTCCTGGAACTCCGATGCAGTAGAAGACTGTAAGCCTAAGGATCATTTAGCTTGTTGTAGGGGTGTTCAGTACCGGGTAGTCGAAACTGGTCAACCTTTAATGTATCATCTTGTTCGCTCAATAAAATCAGTTTTTTTTTTTTTTTTGTATATTAATTTATTTGATAAGGCTCAACCGAATTAACTTAACAGAGCCGAGGATTCATGGTCACTATACAATACATCTTAAAGCTATAGTCAAAAGGTACAACACAATAAACACTTTATCTTCCGCTATCCAAAAAGCCTCCTTCATCAGAACTGGAGCCGCTTCCAGTAGTTTCATTGTATGGCAAATTGTTGTACGCCAACGAGGGTCAGAGCGCGTCCATTGCAGCAATGGACGCAAAACGTGGTCAGCACTCACACACTCATCACGAAACGGTTGCTTTCCAAAGTCGACGACGCATCGACCGAAAGAACTGCTGATGAAGAACAATGAGGAGGACCACACAATGGTTGCTGCCGAGTAAACAGACGATCGCGTAGCACACATCGAGAGTGGCCTGCTTTTGTCGACAGTCGAGTGAACACTGAAAATCAGTTTTGTCTCAGCAGTCAACCTACACGCGTGTTTACTACAATACATATGCGAAGAAGTCTGTAGCAAGTCAGACCCTGTTGCGGAAGCAGTTGGTCAGGCTCCGTATGAAAGAAGGAACTTCGATGCGGCATCATTTTCAACAGTTCGACGATATCATACGCCAACTCAAATCGGCCGGAGCGAAGCTCGAAGAGAACGACATGGTATCGCAATTATTTCTCACCCTTCCCGATAGCTACGCCTCCCTTGTAACGGCTCTAGAGAATATCAACGAGAACGACCTCACATTGGAGACTGTGAAACAGTGGTTACTGGCTGAAGAATCCAAGCGGTCTGATAGGATGGAAGATTCAAGCGAAGACAAGGCAGCAGCGTTTGTTGGAGATGTCAAGAAAGATTGTCGTGTCAAGAAGACCAATGGTAACGTCAACGCAGCGGTTGGAAGCAAAGCAGTTTCGTTCATGGTGAACCAGAAGCAACCGAAGGTGCAGAACAAGCGAACCATCTTCTACGTGGACTCCGGATGTAGCGACCATCTGGTTAACAGTTTAGATTGCATGCAGTCGGTCCGGAAGCTCAAACAACCTTTCGTTATTGATGTGGCCAAAGATGGTGTGTCGATTGTTGGGAAATATGGGAAATATGAAGGCGATGTCAAGGGGATTTCCAAAGAAGGTATTCTGTTCCAGATAAAAAATGTAATTTTCGTACCAGAGCTGCGAGACAACCTGCTTTCTGTCAAGAAGATGTCCCAAGCCGGGATTGACGTGTTGTTCACAAGCCGCGGCGGAAAACATCAGGCGCTTATGAAGCAAGGTGATGCGGTGTGGCACAGTTGCGAGGAAATCTCTACGAGTTGGAGTTAGATCTGGACGTGGTACGACCTACAGCAAATCTCTGCGCAGCGGAGGTCAGCAACATCTGGCATCGTCGTTTGGGTCACGCCAGTCAGACCACGATGAATATGTTAGTTCGACACAATATGGTGGAAGGTCTTGGCCTAAAAGTTGATTCAATTGGATTCTGTGACACATGTGTGCTTGGAAAGCAGTGCATAGAACCCTTCAACGGAACTCGTGAGCGAATTCAGCCAACTGTTGCATACTCACCTCAACAAAACGGCGTGGCTGAACGGTTCAACCGAACCTCTAGTAGAAAAGGTGAGAACCATGCTTATCGACTCAAATATGCCAAAGTTCATGTATTTGGGCTACAAATGGTGAGTCGACAAACTGGAAGGAGTGTTGTCCCAACAGCTCTGGTCCTCACAAGTTCCTACCTCACGCTTCCACGGGTCAACCGATGACAAAGACCGCCAGCAAAAGATGCTGGTAGCATAGCCTGGGCAATGTCACCACGATAAAAACATGGATCCGGATCGTGGTGATAGCAAAGTGAGGAGGTGCGACCCTCGAGCGTCTGTTCACCATGGAGGTGCGGCTCAAACAGCGTCTGTCTCGGAGCGAGCGGCTGAATAAGAAATGCTGTATCACGTCAGCTACACCTAAGGTGGCAGCCCCACCAACATGATGTAGGTATCGCGACCCCGGTAAGGTAGCATACTGAAACCCCCAACATTACTCAGAAAAACGAAGAAAGAGAAAACAACGAACGGAATTTTCGGCAACCAACCCGGCAACGAAATAAGGACAATGAATGGAAACTCGGTACTTGGAATGTCAGAACCTTAAATGAACCTGGACGAGCGGGCCTTTTGGCTCGTGAACTGCAAAAAGTGAATGTGAGCGTAGCTGCTATTCAGGAAGTACGGTGAACGTGAATTCCGGGCGGTGGATCCCATCGCCAACACTTCCTTCAAGTATCATATCTATCACAGCGGTGGCGATAGGGCAGAACATGGAGTAGGGTTCATAGTGATCGGGAAGCAGATGAAGCGTGTTATGCGGTGGAGACCGGTAAGCGACCGCATCTGTGTATTAAGGATTCGGGGCAAATTCTTCAACTACAGCCTGATCAACATCTATGCGCCAACCAACGATAAATCCGATGGCGTGAAGGACGCGTTTTATGACAGTCTCGATAAAACTTATGATGAGTGCCCAAAACACGACGTGAAGATTGTAATCGGAGATGCAAATGCGCAGGTCGGGAGGGAAGATTTCTTTCGTCCAATCATTGGTACAGAGAGCCTACATACAGTAACCAATGATAACGGCCTGAAACTGATAAACTTCGCCGCTGCTAGAGGTATGGCCATCAGTAGCACCTACTTTGCACGCAAGAATATCCGAAAGCACACCTGGAGACACCCAAATGGCGAAACTTGCACCCAGATCGATCACATGTTGGTGGATGGCCGGCACTTCTCAGATGTCATTGATGTAAAGACTTTTAGGGGGCCTAACATTGACTCAGATCATTATCTTGTTGTCTGCAAAATTCGGGCGCGTCTATCGACCGTTACGAATTCAACGAACCGGAGATCGATGCGTTTCAATATCCATCGCTTGTCAGTAGAAGGTGTTGCTGCAGAGTACCGCCAGAAGCTTGATGAGCGGATTAGCGAAATCAACGTGAACGAGGACCTCAACAATCTGTGGAACACAATCCACGGAGCGGTGAACACAACAGCACAAGAAGTGATAGGTACAGCTCAAAGACGACCACGTAATGGCTGGTTTGATGAGGAGTGCCAGAGGTTGACGGATGAGAAGAACGTTGCCAGAAGCCGGATGTTAGTGTCTGGTACCCGGCTGAACAGAGAGCGGTACAAGGTAGCAAGGGCAGCTGAGAAACGAACCCACCGCAGAAAGAAAAGGCAATACGAAGAACGCGTGATTGCTGAGGCGCAAGAAAGTATGGAACAGAACGATATGCGAAGGTTCTACGCGACTGTCAATGGTGTGCGGAGTAAAACAGCGCCATCTCCCGCCATGTGCAATGACCTTGAGGGGAATTTGCTGACAGATAAAACAATGGTGGCTGCCAGGTGGAAAGAACATTTTGAGACATTGTTGAATGGAGAGAGTGAGGGAGTATCGAGGAACAGAGTAAACATCGCAGACGACGATCAAGCTGTGGAGCCTCCAACGCTAGACGAGGTTAAAAAGGCAATACGTGAGCTGAAAAACAATAAGGCTGCTGGGAAGGACGAGCTCCCGGCCGAACTTTTCAAACACGGAAGTGAGCAGCTGCATCAAGCAATCCACCGTATTCTAACGAAGATATGGGAGGACGAAGAACTGCCTGCTAGCTGGTTGGATGACCTCATTTGCCCATTATTCAAAAAAGGGCACAGACTCGAGTGCGCCAATTATCGAGGAATAACTCTTCTGAATTCGGCGTACAAAATACTGTCACGCGTTCTGTTTAACAGATTGAGACCGCTTGAGGAGTCCTTCGTCGGTGAATACCAGGCTGGTTTTCGTGAGGGCCGATCAACGACGGATCAAATGTTTACCCTGCGTCAAATCCTTGATAAATTCCGGGAGTACAACTTGCAGACTCACCATCTGTTTATTGATTTCAAAGCAGCATACGATTCAGTGAAGAGAAATGAGCTTTGGCAGATTATGCTAGAACATGGTTTTCCGGCGAAACTAATTAGACTGATTCGCGCAACGCTAGATGGATCGAAATCAAGTGTAAGGGTTGCAGATGAGATTTCGACCTCGTTCGTGACCTTAGATGGATTGAAGCAGGGTGATGCACTTTCAAACTTACTGTTCAACATTGCTCTTGAAGGAGCGATTAGGAGAGCTGGTGTGCAGAGGAACGGTACCATCATCACACGATCGTACATGCTCCTTGCCTTTGCGGACGACATCGATATCATCGGAATTGACGGTAGAGCAGTGGAAGAGGCGTTTGTGCCTTTTAAGAGGGAGACAGCGAGGATTGGGCTCACGATAAGTTCTACCAAAACGAAGTACATGGTAGTCGGTAGACAGCGTGGGAGCAATAGTGGTGTTGGTAGTGTAGTGTTGTTAGATGGTGAACAATTTGAGGTAGTGGAAGAATTTGTGTATCTTGGAACACTAGTGACATGCGATAATGATGTTACCCGCGAGGTGAAGAGACGTATTGCAGCTGCAAACAGGGCCTTTTACATATTACGTAGCCAGCTGAAGTCCCGTAGCCTGCAAACGAAAACGAAATTCGCTCTGTATAAGACGCTGATACTTCCGGTAGCCCGCTACGGCCACGAATCGTGGACGTTAAAAGAGTCTGACCGGAGAGCATTTGGTGTCTTCGAGCGTAAGGTGCTGCGAACAATACTCGGCGGTAAACAGGAGAATGGCATCTGGCGGCGTCGCATGAATCACGAGTTGTACCAAGTGTATAACGGTACGGATTTAGTGAAGCTTATAAAACACGGCAGACTACGGTGGGCTGGGCTTGTAGTGCGGATGCCGGAAGAACGACAAGCAAATATTATATTCAGCAGAGAACCCGGTAGAGGTCGTCGACTCCGGGGTAGACCTCGGACACGTTGGCTATTTGCAGTTGAGGAGGACATCAGGTCGCTAAACGTTCATGGCGACTGGAAGCGATTGGCTCAGGGCCGAGTCCAATGGAGAAGAGTACTTCGTTCGGCGTTGAATCAACCTGGCGATTCGTAGCCCATCAAGTATCAAGTAAGTATGTATTCGGAGGCAGCACTTACTGGAACGTACTTGTTGAACGCTTTCGGATAATGGTACACCTGCTGAGCACTGCGAAACCTGATCTCTCCAAGCTGCGTATCTTTGAATGTAAAGAGTTTTCGTGGGTTCCAAGCCAGCTGAGGAAGAAGTTGGACAATAAGAGTCGGGAGGTGGTCATGATTGGCTATGCTCCAAATAGCTACCGCTTATGGGACAGAAAAGTAAGAAAAGTATTCATCTCTCGTGACATCAAGTTCGATGAAGTTTCTTTACCATACGCAAATGAAGAAGATGAAGGCTCGAAGGTTCCCTTAGTGATTCCCATGCTGTATCCGCCAGAGGGAACAATTCGTCAGCCGAACAAGAAGCAGTAGCTGTTATCGAAAGCGAAAACGAAGATGAAGTCGATCCGGATACGCAAAGCACCATTGATCTGGATGAAGAACCAACCGAAGAAGCTCCATCCGAAAACCCTGGGGTGCTCTCTTCACAACATAGAGTCTGACACTAGACACAGTGAACGGGAGCGCAGGCTCCCAGGTAAGTTACTTGACTTCTTTACTGGGTTTAGAGCAACATCTGCTGGTAAAATTTCAACTCTCCCAAATCCCCCGGAATCGTACGCCGAAATCGAAGATCGAGAAGATCGACAGCTCTGGATGACCGCAGTTAGAGACGAGTTAAAATCTCTTGAGGAGAATAAGGTGTGGACGACGGTGGAATGCCCTGCCGGTGTCAAGCCCTTGCAGTCGAAGTGGGTATTTCGCGTGAAAGAGGATCAAGAAGGAAACCATGTGCGATGTAAGGCAAGACTGGTAGTCAAAGGTTTCTTGCAGAAGGCTGGCCTGGCCTACAATGAAACATATGCGACCATTGCGAAGTTGACGACGAATCGAATTGTGCTGGCCGTAGGCGTACAAAGGGGATTCCAGTTCCATCAGATGGATGTCAAGACGGCGTTCCTTCATGGTAAGCTACAAGAGAGAATCTTCATGGCTGTTCCGGATGGCTTCAAGGCAGACCCTGGGCTGGTGTGCCAGCTACAGAAATCGTTGTATGGTCTGAAGCAGTCTCCTCGTTGTTGGAACGAAAAATTCAATCGAGCGCTGCTGAAGCTAGGTTTCACACGTTCCAAGCAAGCCTATTGCCTATACACCCGTATCGACAAGAGGGGGAAAGACGTTGTTTTCATCGTGCTGTATGTCGATGATCTCCTGATAGCAGGTATGCAGCTGACCACCATAATGAAGCTGAAACGCGAACTGTCGGCGATGTTTGCAATGACCGATTGTGGAGAGTTGACTCACTTTCTTGGGATGAAGATACGGTACGATCAACAAAATGGTAGAATGATGCTGTCTCAAGAAACCAGCCTGGAAAAGATCTTGCAGAAGTTCGACATGGCGGAGTGCAATGCAACAAGGACGCCAATGGAGAAAGGATTGAAATTGGATCGTCAAGTGGCCGAAGGTATTCAAGAACCGTACTGTGAATTATTGGGAAGCCTGTTGTACAAGGACGGACATTTGCTTTCCTATCGGATATCTTGGGAGATTCCAACTTCAACCTGCACAACAACATTGGACAGCTCTGAAACGGGTTGTACGATACTTAAAAGGATCGATGGAGTGTTGCTTGACGTTTACTAGAGACAATCAAGTGACGCCACTCATCGGGTTTGCGGATTCAGACTGGGCCACCGATACTGACGACCGGAAATCAGTAAGAGGATTTGTTTTCCGTGTTTTCGGATGTACTGTTGCGTGGCCAAGCAAGAAGTAAACAACAGTTGCAACTTCTTCAAGCGAAGCGTTGAGTGCTGCAGCATCGGAAGCAATATGGCTATTGTGTAACCTGACTTATAACGAATATTCGTTGTATACGAGTACCCCGAATACAACGTATGACTCGTCTAATTTTGCATAGCATTTGCAATGTAAACTTTAGACGAACTTTACGTTGTATTCGGGGTACTCGCACAGATAAACAGACATAACACTCGCAAGTTGTTCATCGAACAAGCATTTAACGGTCAATTAAAAAGTATCGTAGTTGGTAGTACCGCCACCTGTAGCGCGCATAGTCAATTCTCTTGCGTTTGACGTTTACACACTACCGCCATCTGTTCAGCGTACTACCCACCACAGTGTACTCAACAGATGGCGGTAATGTTTTAGCGACGATGTTTTACAGTGAGAAATATTCAATGCGTTATGTCTGTTTGTCTGTGGTACTTGTATACAACGTATATTCGTTATAAGGCAGGTAGCACAGTAGTCGGTGTTCTAGACGATCTCGGTGAGCTGAACTTTAAACCAATCACCATATACGAGGACAACCGTGGATGCTTTGGTATGACCAAGAACTTGGAGAGTAAGAGAGCCAAACACATCGACATGTTGATCATGTCGCTCTTTTTTGCTCGGTTAGTGGCCACCCTGAACCAATTCTATACTTTCATTTCCTCAACATTCACCTTAAGTCTGATAATTGGCATTCGTTAATCACTTAAACTTTCCTAAATTTTTGAAAGGTTAAATTGAATGTATTTAATTTAGATGTTGTTTATTCAATTGGACCATGTTCCGAAGTGATTGATAACGTCCTGTTATCATTAGTGCCTGTTAAAGTTGGTCTGCACATATCGAACATCTCTCAGCCTTTTGAATTGATAGCTATCTTTACACTTTCTCGTTAGAATAAAGTGCGGCAAGTTTGTTAGGGGCCATGCAAAAATTACCTCCACAACTTGTACGAACTGTTTACAACCAGGGGGTGTAACGCATCTACAAATAATAATCAGCTAACAGTTTCGACAAATTGACGTTTGAATGTTGGATTACAAAAGCAAATACGTCATTTTGAAAAAAATTACCTATATAATACAATAATAGTCATTCGTCCTTGAATTATGACTCCTATTCCCCGTCTTGGACATCCCAAGGAAATCCACACCTATTCAAGAACCTGCCGACAGAGCCAAAACTATTCCATGCATGCCTCTTCAACCCTCACCTAACGTTAATGGAAGCAAATCCATCACAAGAGTCTCCCTTTTGCGCTCTTGACTCCAGTCAAGCGAGGGCGTATTGAATAATAAAAATAAGATCAGGTTTTTTTTTCGGCTTCAAGCCGGAGTGTGTCACCCATTTACGGTGGGCAGCTGGCAGCGGACTGGGGGAAGCAACAAGCGGCAAACGGGTGCTGCTGCTGCCTTGCTTCCCTAGCCTGTGCCTGTTGTCACCATGCCATCCCGCAGAAGAGCAAGAGTAGGCGGCCGGAGAAAAGCAAAGCACTAGCGCTGCTGGAGAGCAACAGCAACAACAGCGCAGTGAGGAAAAATGAATTCGGAACCCGAAGCCGGAAAGCACATGACGCATGTTTCTGCGATTATCGGTCGAAACGAGCGGTCTTCCGGGTAGAATTTACCGGAAAACGGAAGGGTCGGTTTGAAATTATCGGAAAACGTAGGATGGTACTTACCAATTGGATGATTTAATTAAAATTTGGTCGATTTTCGGCTCCCGTTAGATTTTGCTCGCTGCGGTAGTTTTCTTTTCTTCACTGACTGACTGGATCACTCACCTCACCACACACCACAAGAAGCGGCCTTTTTCGCTCTTGCACGGACGGCGGAGACGCGATAGAATGCAATAAGCGGAAAAGAGAAAGCAATACGGAATACCTTCTTTTTCTGCTTGTGCAAGAGAGAAAAGCATATGAATACCGATGATGCAGAGAACACTGTCAAACTTTATTTTTTTATTTTGCGACGCACTTTTTGCACTTTTTGACGTTTTATCGCGGAACAGGTCTATTCGAAACGGGAAAAAAATCCTGAAAAACGGCCAACATCGATTTTTCAAGTGAGTGTCCGAGAATTAACGAATAATAGGGTCGAGCCACTAATTTCATCGATTGAATCTAATTTATTCGTTTTCGTTCAAATTCAAATAGTTCCGTAGGGTCTGCACGGACGATGAGATCAACTCAAAGTTGAGTTGAATTCGACTCAATTTTGTCAACAAATAATGTTCACAAAGTCTGCAATTTTGAAGGGGTGTAAATTTTCTTATTGTTTTCAAATCTCAGATCAGGCAAATTTTCAGTATCCGAGTGTTTATGAAATTTGTTTGAGTAGTTGATATTTTCGAAAATATCAAAGTGCAAGAATGCAAAAATGTTAATAAGTCTCAGATTTTTTTATCTAGTTCGTTTATTTGTAAGGCTCAATCGCGTTAGCTTTACGAAACCGATAATTCATTGTTCATTGGTTGTAGCAAAATTGACTTATTTCTATGTCTAGTAGGAGTTGGGCCGAACACTCGCGGCTTACCCGAGGCTAGATGGGTACATTGTCGAAGACTGCGATCAGGGAAGGAGCTTGGGGGAATCTCAGACATTTGATTTATTTTAAATGAGAAATGTTATAAATTCCAGCATTTCGAATATATCTGTCAATCATTCATCTTGGGGATATTCATATAGTGGGGCTTATTACTGATGTCACTTCACGGTGAAAACTTGTCACTTGTCGTCACGGTGAAGTGATTCCCATTTGATTTGTACGGCAATCACGGCTCTTATAGCCACTCCTTCACCTTCCTCAGCTTCCTTCTGGGCACTTTTCACAGTCCAGTCGGTTCCTTTCCTTCGACTTTGAACCCTCAACTTGGTTCGCAAGCCGGTCGCGTACTTCGGTACTTTCCGCGACGGCTCTTCGATCTCTCTCTCTTTCCTTACTATACTCGTGGCGTCTAACGGTCGATGGGCCGTTGGTTTGTATTCCCGGATACCTTCGTATCGGAAGATGCTCCGCGTCTAACCGCGCCGTATGCCGAATGACGGACACTACGGGGTCTGATCACGCCGTGGATGAATTTTTAGCGGCAAACTACGGGGTCTGCACCTCACTCTCCTTCTTCACTTCTTTCACGTCCTCACGGTTCTTACTGAATTTCAAACTTGCTTGAACTTGCTTAACGAAGCCTCGCTGTTGAGTATCACCAATCAAATGATTCTCAACGATGGCGGCTGACCTATTCTTTCTCCTCCTACCTCCTCTCCTCCTCGATGAGCCATCGTCCTTCCACCCTGTTTCGCCTAATCATGGCCCCATTATGCCACCACCTAATGGCCTCCAAATCCAGTAAACAGTGCCATCTGGTGGTAGGTAGAGGATCTTCCTGTCGTTTAGTGGTGTGGCTGTGTACTGTCCAGTGGGTGATTTTGTGGGCAATGGGTGGTGTTGGTAGCTTGTATTCAAACCTTTCCTTGGCATATTGTTATACATAAAATACGAAACACTAATCGCGACAATCTCACTAATCTCAGACAGACAGACCGGTTACATACGGATACTCCATGGACTTCCTTTCAGGCTCTCCTAAGAATTCCCTGGACATCTCCTCAGAATGCCTTTACAAGACACCTTAGAATTATTGTGGAATTATCCTCAGAACTTCCGAAGAATTCTCCGAAAAATTGTATTCAGAAATTCCTTACAATTCTCTTTGAAATCGTTTTAAAATGCTCCTCACAATTCATATTAAATATTCCTTGACATTCCCAAGGTTTTCTCCTTAAATACCCGTAGAATCATACTTCGATCTCCCTTTGAATTTCTCCTCAGAACTCTCTTGGAATGCTCTCAGAATTCCCTTGGAATTATTCACACATTTGCCTAGTAATTATGCATCAATAATCTTTTTAATTTTCTTCTCACCTTGGAATTCGAAGAGCTTCAATTGAATTCCATTTGAAGCTCTTCTAGTTTGCATTCTCCTCAGAATCATCTAGAAATTCTTCTCATAACTCCTTTGAAAATCTCCCGAGCATTAAGAAGGTCTGACGACCTTGGAAGCATTCCATAGATTTCGCTTGAAGTTCTCCTCAAACCTAAAATGGAATTCCGGGCTGAACTCTCTTAAAATACTAATCAGAATTCCTTTGGAATTGTCCTTAGAATTCCCTTTATGATCTTCAGAATTGCCAGAATCATGAATAATTCCTTCAAACTCAAGAACCTTGAAAGTTTTCCCAGACCCATTATTTTAATGATGCAGGTTTTCTAATCTGGGATCTAGGAAATCTTTCAAGGTCCGATATCTGAATCTTCATTCCAGAATTTTGAAAAATTTTCCAAGCTTGGATTACCCTTTTTTTCGAGGGGGACGACTCTATCTACGATGCAGAAAAGATTGTGTTTTGCTGTGGCTAGCTGCGCGCACGCTGAGTAGATAGAAAGAAGATTGATGACGATTCTGAAGATTTCCTGCAAAAAGATGATGCACGATGCAAGTAGATGCGAGAAATGAAAGAAGATTTTTAGAAGATTGATTATCTAGTGTGAGATTTGTTGAGCATCTAGACTTGAGATTTAGATGTGTCGCCCCCCTCACTTTTTTAAGGTAAGTGTCTATGTAAAATTTTCTACATCACTATCTTCTACTACGGTGTTCTTCCGGGGACGCCCGAAAACGTTGACCGGGGTCTGCATTCCATCGAGGAGGCAATACCCACGGCCAGGGAACAACACGTGTCAGTATCCAGACAGGGGAGCAATACTCTGAACCTTGACAGATCTACCAAGGACCTTATAAGACTCCATAACACCATCCGAAGGCAGTACCAACGCTCTGGTCTGCCTGTCCTTAAGACCCACTGTAATCGCCTAGCAAAAACCATCCAAGCCAAGGTGGACCTCAGGAACCAGGACTTTGCTAACAGGATCCGCTCTCTCCCAGATTGTGCAAAGCCCTTTTGGAAACTAACCAAAATTCTTAAAAAATAAGTGTCCTGAATAGAAGGCTGCCGCGATAGGTCAACACTTCGTCAGCTCCGATAATCTCGGACAAAACATCGTCAGCCCTCACGAAGCTGAGGTTGCTGAAAACGCAACCAACCTCCATCAGATTCCCAATATTTTTTCCGAGGAATCCGAGATTACGGCTGACGAACTGTTGGCCTATATCAAATCATCTATAAACATGAAGGCCCCAGGTTTCGACAACATCCTGAATCTGGAACTCAAACACTTGAGTTCCAGATTCTACAACCATCTGGCACTGATTTTTAATCTGTGCCTCCGACTTGGCTACTTCCCCTCGTGTTGGAAGTCAGCTAAAGTCATACCCATCCGGAAACCTGGGAAGGATCCGTCCTCTCCTTCAAGTTATCGACCAATCAGCCTTCTCTCAGGGTTATCAAAACTGTTCGAAAGAGCAGTGTACCACCGGCTCCTAGCATCTGCCGATGAAAACAACTTGTTACTCGAGGAACAGTTTGGTTTTCGGAAAGGTCGTTCGACTGTCCACCAGCTGACTCGAGTAACAAACATTCTCAGACGGAACAAGTCTGTTTCGAAAACATCTGCCATGGCGTTGTTGGACGTTGAAAAAGCGTTCGACAATGCCTGGCATGATGGCCTGGTGTTCAAATTGCAGCAGTACGGTCTTTCAATCTTCCTAGTGAAGATAATTAACAACTATCTATCGAACAGGACGTTCCGAGTCTCTCTGAATGGCATCACATCGGATGCTTTCAACATCGGTGCTGGGGTTCCACAAGGAAACATCCTTGGCCCCATCCTATTCAACCTGTTCACCTCCGATATGCCGGCTCTCCCTGATGATGGATAGTTGTCTCTGTTCGCAGATGACACATCCATCGTCTACAAGGGTAGGGTCATCGGAGCTCTGACTGCCAAACTTAAGAGAGGCCTGGACGTCCTGTCTGAATATTTCAACAGTTGGAAGATCCGTATCAACGCGGCAAAGACCCAGGTCATCATCTTTCCACGCTCTAAATCTCCCAGACTTGTTCCGTCGGTGAATAATAAGATCTGCCTGAACGGCACAGTGATGGAATGGTCAAAAGAGGTAGTCTACCTCGGCTTAACACTAAACAACAAGCTGATTTTCAGGGAGCACGTTGACAACACCAAAACCAAGTGTAACATCTTGATAAGATCACTGTATCCACTCATCAAAAGGAGGTCTACTCTATCCCTGAAAATAAGCTTGCTGTCTACAAACAAATCATTCTTCCCGTAATAGAATACGGGATGCCAATCTGGGAGAGTTGCGCCAAATGCCATTACCTTAAACTCCAAAGGATCCAGAATGGTCCTTAACAGTCCCCCGCGGACTAGACATTCTGAGATCCACCTCCTGGCTGGAATTCAGACATTAGAAGAACGGAGAGTATTCATCCTGGATCCTGAGATCACATCATCAGATCATACGAGATAAAGCACGTTAGGTTAAGTTATAGGGTAGAGCACTACTTCGTCGTAATCGCCCATTTCCGTTCTATCGATCAGAAAAGATCAATAATATCAATGATTTCACCATGCACAAATCAATAATAGGTTTGTTCTGATGCGTAAGTTCATTAGCTACAACATAAATCCAGTTAGAGCGCATTATATGAATATTTACGCTCATTGTTCTCAAAACAAAAGAAGCGCTCCTAGCGAATCCTCTTTTTCTACGTTTATCCGTAGGACGAAGAAAATCTAATGGCGTTTCAATGCGTTAGGACGGAATTGAAACTCGTAGAACGAATTTAGAATCAAGAAGCAG